TGCTGCGTCTCCTTCTGGCAGCATCCCTCGTGGTGCTCACCCTGGAACCATGCCTCATCCTTTGTTCAGGTGCTAATTTCCTGATTTACTGGGTTTTCCCCAATTAATGGGCTTTTTGGAAGCTCCACCAGCCGAAACCCAGCGTTGAAACACATGGAAAATGGAACTAGATGATCGCTGAGGTCCTCTCCAACCAAAGCCATTCAGGGAGTTCAGCCTTGATGATCATTGAGCTCCCTTCCAACCCAAGCCATACTACGATTGTATGGACTGTAAATTACATCTGGATGACAAGAGCAGAGGGATGCAGACAACAGATGCTCCAAAGATATCCTTACTAGCAAAACAATCTGGCTTTGATTGAGACAACCTCACCATGCTAAACAAAAGCAAATCACTTTCTGCAAAGCAAAAAAGCAACCAGCTTTCTCCATTCTTTAACACTGACAAGCAGATGGATTCTATAACCCCCTGAGATCCTTTCACCCCTGCTTCCTAAGCCCCTTTAATGGAAAAAAAAGAAAAAAAAAGCCTTTATGTTACTGCCTGCTGCTCTCTTCAAGCCCAGAACCTGGATTTTGGCCCTCAAAAAAATGCTGTTAGTGGATCCATTCTCTTAATTTTCACAAAAATATAAGAAAGTAATAAATAAGTAATACAAGTATTATAATAAGTAATGTAAGAAATGTCACAAGAACAAGCAGCTTGATGCAAAAAGCTGGACACCAAACCCAAATCACCAACAAACCCTAAGGAACAGCAACCCCAAAAGCCTCAATATTTCTGTGAGGGCTGGATGTTGAGATGCTGACAGCACCAAAAACTCTTTGGGAAAACCCAAATAACCCAAACCTCAGCCTCCTGGGAATATATACTGTCACCATGTCACCATCATGTGGTATTTTTCCTGTTATCTACAGAAAAAAAAAAGGAGTTGTGCAGTTGGCCTGCCCTTCCTCTGGTTTAACAAAATTACTGGGTTTTAGGGAAATTTTTCAGCATTCGTTCTGCTCTGCTAATGGATTCTGCAAAGCATTTGGGGTCACTGAAAATCCCCTGTCCTCCTGTTCTGCATGCTTCTCTGAGAAGAGTGTTCAGGCACTGGAATGGGCAGCCCAAGGAGGTGGTGGAATCTGGAGGTGTTCAAGAAATGTTAGATGTTGCACTGAGGGAAACGGTTTAGTGGGGGATGTTGAAGATAGGTGGATGGTTGGACTGGTTGATCTCAGGGGTCTTTTCCAACCTTGGTGATTCTATGATTCCGTGACTGCAGTGAGATGGAGAACACCAAGAGTCCACGGGTGTTGATAGCCAGGAGGTGACAGAGAAGCACTTTGAGCATCTTCTGCCCAAACTTATCATTTCACCCAAAGAAATTGCTTTATACATGGTTTCCTCCTCAATTTAACCCTCAGTTAGTACAGACAAATGTTAAGGCCCTGCTGTTGACACAGAAAGGCTTGAGAGAACGCTGCTTAGCATCTGGGTTGCTTTTAGAATCATCAGGGTTGAAAAAGAGCTCTAAGATCCCCAAGTTCAACCTCAACCCATCCCACCATGCCTACTGACCATGTCCCCAAGTGCCACTTCTCCATGATTCTTCACCACCTCCATGGATGGTGATCCCACCACTCCCTGGGCAGCTGTGCCAGTGCCTGACCATTCTTCTTACAAAGAAACTTTTCCCAACATCCATCCTGACCCTCCCCAGGCACAACTTCAGGCCATTATCTCTTGTTTTGCAGTAGGTTGAACAAAGCCTGCTGACTATTTTCCACCACCCCCCTCCACCCAAGGCTGCCAAGACAAGGACAGCAGTGAGGCTCCCTGCCATGCAACACAGCCATCAGAGCTCCACGCATTCCTGGACTCTGAATCAACTCCTAGAAGGCATAATATACCACTGATGCTAACAAGCTGCTCCAGTGACGAGCACAGGGCTGCATCGAGTATCTCCTTAAAGGTCAGGGGACCACATGATGCCCAGGAGCCCTTGCTTATGCTTTTACTACGAGTTAAAGATAATTTGAGTTGATCTAAGTATTAAATTGCAGTCTTGCATGGCCAGCACAACCTTTAGAACCAAACGGTGAGGTCCCAGATCTTCACACTCTTAACGTTACTGTAGCTCTCTCAGCCCACTCTCCGCCTTCCCCAACTTAGCAAAATGTAAAGTTGCATTTGCAAAATGCTCATTTTTTGGCAAAGAAAAAAAGCCCCAGGATGAGATGATGAGGATGGGGTTACGCAGCCGTGCCGTTCTGCATTCTGCAGGGGAAGGAAAGGAGCTCTTTCTCCACGCTGCGGGGCCGCTGCATTAAGTCACATCTGAATTCACGGGATGAAGGCTGCTGAAATGTCACCGCGGCGGCTCCTGGCACAGTTCAGTGAGAGCACCATGGCCTCGTTAGGGCAGTGGAAGCGATGAGTTTGCCTTTGTAGGGATTTAAAAGCTCTGGGAGGCAGCCAGGCATTCCCAGATCACAGCTGCTGTGGGTTGAGGAAAGAGCTACGCGAGGAAACCCTGCAAACATAGGCAGTGCAGCAGCGTTGGAGCAAAACCCGCATTGTGCATCATGAAAGCTGCTGTAGATCGCATGCTGACGAAGGCATGGGTTGTAATAAGTGCACGATGCAGAGTTTGACGTAGCCACGTTCTCCATGGGTCCTGAACTCTTTGTGATAACCAACAGAGGATCAGCAACGCCACTCCCAAGAAGTTTTGCCGATTTCCTTCAAGGAAACCCTCCAACTCAGCCCAACGCCTACCTGCACAAAGGCTGCAAACCATCTACAGCTGAGTGACTTCACGCAGCGCGATGCCAGCAAGCTAAAAAAAACCCTGATACTGCACAAAAATCCATGGGCGAGGATTAAAGATATACTTTTCAAAGCTTTGGTTTGTGAAAAATCGCATAATTTGGTTCAGCTTTTTAAAGTGCAAAGCCCCTCATCTCTCTTAGTAGCGGTACAGCAATGACCCAGTGCTGCACAGAAAGGAAGGGGAAAAAAAAAAAAATAAAGAAAAAATGGCTCAAGCTAATCCTCCAATTTTATAAGACACTAATCCGCTGATCTCATTGAGAGGGATTAGAATTACCCCCTCGCCAGAGGATTTAAGAAGTTTCCAACCAGATGTCAACAAAAGCAGAGCACAGCCCGCGCTGAAAGCCCTTTGGATGAGGGTAAGGGGCATCTGCAGTATGTCCACGGAGCTGGATCCCATCTGGGGGATGCTGTACCAGTGTCCCATCTGCTTTGGGATGGACTTTTGAGGGGTTGCATAAACTCAGCCTCTTCTGTTCTCTGAGGTCTGAGCTTTGGGCTGATCTGACTGGAAATTACAGAATGACAGAACCGTAGGGGTTGGAAGGGACCCCTTGGGATCATCCAGTCCAACCCCACTGGTAAAGCAAGTTCCCTGCAGCATTACTCCAAAAAAACAAAAAAAAATGGGAGCACAGATTCACACCAGCACTACGGGTTTGCACGCACAGATACAAGATACAAAACATCCAAATTTCCATCCAAAAGAAGAAAGCTAACTCATTCCATCCACAGTTTCAGCCCGGACCACCCTCTCTTTTATGCCAGCTGCCGGGCGCGCGCCGGCGCAGATCAGGGCTGGCTTTTGTTCCACGCCATGTGTACATGCTCAGCTGAGCTCGCAAAAGGGAAACAAAAGAAAAACTAAAAACGCAGCTGCCTTCATAACCAATCTGCCAGGAAATTGCCCCAGGGGAAGCCCAGCCCAGCTGAGGGCTTTCTGCAGAACAATGGCAAAAGCGCATCTTTAAAGGCAGGCAGAAATATTTGCTCGTTTGCAAAACTGGCTCCGAGCAGAAAGGAGCTGACTGTGATCCCAACCCAGCGCAGGGATATTGTTTCAAGCAGGAGGAGCCATTCCAGTGACAGGATGCACTGAATGGTTGGATATTCAACGCCTGCATTTTCAGATTGGATATAAGCAAACGTTTCTTCTCCAAAAGAGTGGCAATGCATTGGAACAGGCTGTCCTGGTGGTCACTGGTCCTGGAGGTGCTCAACAATAGTGGAGATGTGGCACTGAGGGCCATGGTCAGTGGGCATGGTGGAGTGGGGTGGACTTGTGGACTTTATTAATCATTTCCAACCTTAATGACTCTATGATTAATGCGCCAACCAGAATGAACCAGGGCTCCCCAAACCCCATCGCATGGGATATTTGCATTCCCTCCCTCTTACCTTTTGCCTTCCATTCTGCCAGATAGGTCAAAATCCACCTACCTGCTCCGCTCCAGCCCCACAGCTGTTTGTTGTTGGCTTTTTCTTTTCCCCCAGAAAATGCTCTTCCCAGCCAGGGAGCTGTGAAACACTCCACTATTTCCAAGCAGCCGGAGCACCGGTGTTGGGAAATGGCTAAAATAAACTCAAGGCTGATCTCCTGGCCGACAGCTTTCAGTTTCTCTCTCGCTGCTTGGGAACTGGCGTGGTTTCCTGCCGGGTGCTTTGTGAGTTAAAAGCAGCCTGATCCCTGCAGCCTGATCCTCCACGGTAATAAAAACCAGACGGAGTAGGGCTTGGCTGCTTCCCACATTCACAGAGCAGAAGGAGCGAGCATGGAAACAAACGAGCCCTTTGCTCCGGTCTCGTCCTGCTCACAAAAGCAGTGATGCAGGGAGCAAGAAAGCTGCAAAACAAACCATGTGTGCTCCTTGTGCTTTGACAGCAAACTTTAAGCCGGATGAGCAAGGCGTCAGCGGCAGCACTGAGACATCCAAGGCCGCTTCATGAATCACTCAGGTCAGAAAAGAGCACAAAGATCCCCAAGCCCAGCCTCACCCATCCCACCACGTCCATGCACCATGTCCCCCACTGCCACATCCCCACAGTTCTGGAACAACTCCAGGGAAGGTGAGCCCTCTACACCCTGAGCAGCCTGTTCCAATGCATTATCACTCTTTGAAAAAGTTTTTTCTAGTATCCAACCTACCCTCCCCAGCACAACATGAGGTCATTACCTCTCGCTGCCCGGGTGTGCATCCAGGTTTGGACCACAGTGAGGTGTGGGTACGTGCACCGGTAGCACAACCCTGTGTTGATCCATCCTCATGAAGCACTCAGGTTCAACCACTTGCAGATTATCAGTGAACTAATGAGGGCTTAAGGACACGCAAATCTGAGTTACTTGCAGGTGTGATGGAGAGGAAAAAGCAGCTCCGAGCACCAGAACAATGCGACTCCAGTCCCACTGAGCACCTGGGTACCACACATCCCTGGATGCGGAGAAGACGCTTAGCACGCTCCCACTTTTCAGGTTAAAAAATGAATTTTTAGCATGGCTGTCAGGTAAAACAGGCAACAACCGTACACCAGTGCTGCTGCTTTCTGCCATAGAATCTCAGAATGGTTTGAGTTGGAAGGGACCCTTGAAAGCCCTCTGGTGCCACTCCCCTGCAACAAACAGGGCCATCCACAGATCCATCAGCTGCTCAGCGCCCATCCTTGCTGCTGTTCTCCCAGCATCACCTCCAGCCTTGAGTTTCCCAAGCCAAAGCACGCCACGTCACTCCCCAGGCAAAGTCTGAGCCACGGCACAGAGACGTCGGAAGCAAAGGAAGGTTATCACACATCAACAAACGATGACTTCTCCATGAGCCATTGCAGGAAACAAAAATAAACAGAACCCCCATGCTCTGAAACACCCGAGTGCAAGGGGAATTCCCCAAAACCCCGCCCTCTGTGCTCTGACCCACGCTTTCCATGGGAACCACCGAGCAGCCAAGTGCAAAAGCCTTGTGCTGAGGTCACGTCAACGCTGGGATGGCTGCAGGATGCCTACTGTTGTGCACCCATGGAATGGGGCCATGTGGATCTTTGAGGTAGCAGGCGAGGGGCAGGGTCGGAGAGGAGGTTGCAATGCCTTCTGCTGTTCCACTGCAGATGTTCAAGCAGCTCCACCGAGGTCCTGTAGGCAAGGCAGTAGGATGGGCCGTGCAGCGCATCCTCTCTACTACAGCTGCCGTAGTTGGACTCGCTGATCCCAAAGGTCTTATCCAACCTAAACGATTCCATGAAGAGGTGCAGAGAGGGGGGGATCCACAAGCACAGAAGCCCTCAGGATGGCTGGGAATTTCGATCCATCGTTGCTAAAAGCCCTGGGACTGGATGGGTTTAAGGTCCATTCCAACCCAACTCATTAGATGATATGGTTCTATGAAGATGCATCAGGCACACACCATGGCGATATCAGCACCGCCCTCCCTTTTTTTCCCCCCCTCTAAATACACCAATTACTGCATTTTGAGTTCCTTCCACTTTGCCCCCAAGCTCTCCATTTGCTGGGAGCTATACCCTTCCTCCCTGAGTTATCTGAGGCCAAAAGTTTGTTGTCTTTCCAGGCTCCAGGCCAAACCTGTTTAATTTTTGCTACAGATGGCACTGTACTGCAGAGGCATCAGCTGGAGCCTCTGTGAGCACAGCAACAGAGCCCATCGCCCCACTAACCCAGCACTGCTCGAGGCTGCTCTGTTTACACCCATCATAAAAAAATAAAAGCATTGCTACAAACTCAGGCTACAGTTTCACTATTAAACCGAATGTGCGAATGGGGGAGGGGGATAAGTTGGAGAAACACAAGGAAAAGTACTAGTGGGCATGGTGGTGACGGGTCAACAGTTGGACTTGGTGATCTTAGAGGTCTCCTCCAACCTTAATCATGGGATAGTGGGCATGGTAGTGAAGGGTCAGTGGTTGGACCCTATGATCTTAGTGGTATTTTCCAACCCCAATGATTCTATGATTCTCATAGAGATTTCAATACTGAATCCAATATTGAAGAAGTATTAAAAACTTGCATTTTACTGTCCTGCAAAAAAATAAAAGCCCACGAATGAGCCTCAGTCCCGTTGCGAGCACATCATGCAAACCTTACATTATTTCACCCCACATCCCACAAAATGTGTCCCAACACCTGGAAGCCAGAGTACACCTCCTGCAAGATTTATGGGGTGAAATAAAGGGGGGGGAGGGAGGGGGGGGGGATGAGGAGAGGCAAACAGCCCCGTCCGCGTCCCTGCTCGCGTGCTGCTGAACACGTTGTGCAGGCAGGAAGCTCCAGATCAAAGGCGGGGAGCGTGCCAGAGCTGTATGTAATGCACAGCTCCTGCCAAAGGTGGGGGGGGGGGGGGGGGGGAAGGGGAAAAAAAAGAACAACAAAACCCCATATGCACAATGGGGAATGGCTCACGGGGTCCGGCTGTGCTTTGTTAGTGGGCATCACGGGAATAGCAAAACCCCACTACGTGCAGTGCAAAGGGTTTCGGGAATGGGAGATGCGTTCCTCCCCAAACAAAGAGGAGCAGAAAAAGTGCAAAAAGAACAAAAAAAGAAAAAGAAAAACACCAAAAAACCCACCCCAAGAGGTGCATTTTTCCCCTGCAGCTCACAGTCCTAAGGGACCGACACGCAGCTGGTGCCAAAAGCAGCAAACTCAGTACGTGCCTGCATGGCAGGAACGCCCGCCCCGCTGCACCGCTTCCATCCCTAAATCTCATTTTTTCTTAATTTTCCCCCTTATCTGGGCTTCTTTTTTTTTAGCCCAAGCAGCCCACAGCACATTGCTGCAACACGCTGCCTCGGGGCTCGGTGGTGGGGATCCTCTTTTTGGGGTGTAGGGAGAAAACATAGGGTGGGGAACTGTCTCCTGTCCCTTTGTGCCACACTTTGAGGGTTGTGGGGTTCATGCCATGCTTAATCCCACCCCTAATGCAGGACAAGGCCATCCCTTGTGGGCACAGGGTGGGGGTGTCCTCGCTGCCTTCAAGTGGGGAGCTTCATAGGGGTGCTGTCACCCCACAGAGGACAGCACTTGGGGGGTGCATAGGAGGGGAACGCACAAAGCAGGGAGGGCAGCAGCAGCCCTATAGGGCAGAACACAGGGATGGGGTTTTGCACCATTGGGGTGCTGGAGGGGACTATAGGAGAGTGCACAGGGAGGGAGTCCTGCACTACAGAGGTGCTGGAGGGATCCCTGCCCCATAGGGGATTGCTCAGGGAGTGCTGGAAGCGGCTGCCCCATAGGGGACAGCATAGAGAGGGGGCTGCCCTATAGGGCAGTGCATACGAAGGGGGTCCTGCCCCGTAGAGGACTGCATGGGGAAGGTGCCCTGAAGCACAGGGATGCTGGAGGGGGAGCCCTGCCCAACGGGGATGCAGGAGAGCAGGGCCCTGCCCCACAGGGGTGCTGGAAAGAGATCCCTGCCCCACAGGGGTGCTGGAAAGAGATCCCTGCCCCACAGAGCGGTGCAACGGGATGGGGGAATCCCCGCCCTAGGGGAGAGAGCGCGCCCCATAGGGAAAACACGAAGAGCAGCACAAAAGAGGACTCCGTACCTCCGCGGGGTGCCCAAAAAGCCGCAGCCCTCAGCCCCATCCCGGCCCGCACTCACCGCCTCGCCCCGAGCCCGGCCGCCGCTCTGCCGCTGGCGGGGAGGGACCCGGATGGAGCCCCGCCCCCGCCTGACCCCGCCCGCCCGCCCGCCCGCCTGTGGGCACGGCCACCGCGCTTCCGAGTGCGCATGCGCGGCGCGGCCCGGGGTGGTGCGGAGTGACGTCATAAGTGAGGGGGGGGGCGGCTGGGGGACGTTGGGGACGTAATGGAGGCTTGGGGGACGATGGGGACTTTATTGGGATCTTGGTGGTGATGAGGATGTTGGGGCCGTGATGGGGATGGGGTGACAATGGGGACATAGGAAGCAGTGGGGATGTGGGTATGTAGGGGACGGGGGAGTCAGTGGGGACACGGAGAGGATGATGGGGACGTTGGGGGTATAACGGGGACGAAGTGACAGTGGGGACATAATTGGGGCATTGGAGACCATGGGGACATGGAGAACAGTGGGGGTAGGGGTGATATGGGGACAGTGGAGATGGAGGGGGGGGACAAGGGGAATGGAGAGTAAACGTGAGCAATAGGGATAGGGGGACCATGGGGATGGGGGCTGTGGGAGCATGAGATGCTAGGGGATAGGATGGCCCTGGGGATGGAATGGCACCGGGGATAGAAGCAGTGTGAGGACAGGAGGGGACGCTCCTGGTGGCAGCAGAGGTGGGGATGGTGAAGTGGGAGCAGGCGCTGGCACTGGAGGCCGGTGAGTGTGGTGATGAAGAAGACGATGATGGGGTTGGCAGGAGGTGTCAGAGCCTCCTGAGGTGTGGTTGGATGCTCCGTGACCTCACCTCCCTCCTGGGTGAGATGCATTGCTCAACACGAAACTGACCCATAAAATGCCCAGCAGTGAGCATCACGCCTCGCATCAGCTCCTCCTGAGCCACAGAACGGCCATCAGTGGCACTGGGTTGTGTCAGGTTGGGGGGGTTAGGGAATGGTTCTGCCCCAGAGGATGGTGGGCATGGAATAGGCTGCCCAAGGCAGTGGGCACGGCCTGAATGGTGATGCAAGGAGCTGACTTTTGAAATTTGAAGTCCTATTCCTGCTGTGTGGGAATCCTCACCTCGCATAGAGGGGTGTGCCCAAACCTGCTGGCAGTGCCTGTGGCTGTTTGCTTGTGCTCCAGGTAAGGAGCCTGCCAAGCCTTGGCCCTGCAGGGTTGGGATCAATTTGGGAAGCAAATGCAGCTGGAGATCAGGTTCTGCCATTCCTCCCTTGGAAAAGCTTGGAACCGTGCATGCAGTGTGTCCTCAGCACATCCTGGGAGAAAAATCTGCTTTTTTTGGCATTTCAGGGCTGTGGCTGGATCTGGAGCAGCTCTATGGCCATCATGGGTGCTCCTCTTGAAGGCCAGCAAGGCTTCTGCCTTTGTTCATCAGCTCCTATTTGTACATTTTCCAGCCTCAGTTTCCCCTTTGGCTGACAGTGCTTGTCGGACAGCAGCACCCCGAAACAGGATGTCCAGGGGAGCAAGGATGCATGTCCAAGCTCTGATTCATCACCTCGATTGAGAGAAAGCCACAGCATTCACTTTCTCCCGCTAATCACGCTGCTCTTTATTAATGGGAAGATCCAGTTTTTCCTACTCGATGGATGAAGGCAATTGAAATCCAGCAGGCTTGCATGCCCAGACCTTATGGTGGAGAGATGAGGTGATAAGGGAGGGTGGATCTGCCTCCTGGGAAGGTGGAAAACTTGTTGTCCTTCCAGGAAGAATGAGGTGACAAGAATGGGACCCGATTTTGTCCCGTGAAATTCTCCTGCTGCTATGGGTTTGCCTCGGAGGATCACAACAGGGCTGTGGGACAGGGCCAAGCTCTTTGCTGCTTGTAGGTAGTGACATTGTTGGATTTGCTGTGGTTAGGCTTGCATCCACCCATGCAACCCAAGGTGGCTGAACAGAAGACATCAGCTCTGGTGGGAAGATTTTGGTTCAACCTTCCCTCCTTGTGGTTGAT